TCGACGGCTTTGCGTCTGACAGTCATTGACAATGGACATCAAGTTGACATTTCCCCAACGTATTTCCTGTTCAAATGAAAACAATCCTGCAGAATGATCCGAAAAAAACATCCAAATCAAAGCTATAACTTTCAATTCACCTGGTCTGTATCCAACTTCTTCGACGATGGTGCCAACAACTCGTGAAACTCCGCCATGTAGAGCAGAACTAGCAAACAGAATTCAACCGACGATAAACCAAAATCAAGTAGTTCCACTTAATTCCAGCTCTCACGCTCTCCACTTGCAAACCAATGTATGACTGGAATGATGCCTGCAAAAGAGCAGTAAGCCACTGGAAAAAAAATTGTAGAAATGAAAGACTACCTAACTGTTCTTGATGTTCAATTTATCAAAAGCGCAAAGTCTGATTTGGAAAATGTCAAATCTCAACAGGAGCGAATTACAAACCAGCGAGGTCGTGTTTGTAATAATTGCCACATGTATGGACATACCAAGAAAACATGTAAATCACCTGCTGAAGGTGAAGGTGTCAGGAGCTGCAAAAATCAAGACAAGCATCTCGAAATAAAAACGCAGATTTCAACACTTCAAGCCGAACTAAAAACCCTGGTGAAAAAGCATGAAAATTATAAACACGAACTAGAAAATTTTGTAGCGGCAAGGGAAAAATCTGCATCATCCTTCTTTGCAGTTATGAGTCCGCGTTTGAGACTACAGAATTTACCAAAAGTATACCGATAGGCTAAAGCTTGACAAAGATCTTATGGTGTTACAACGTGCACTTCAGAACAAAGTTCCATCGTGGAATCCCGATGAAGACTGGCAACTACCAGTCATTATTGAACAATATAGACACTCAAATGTGGTTGCAATACTGCCAGAACAGTATCCTGCTTTCCCAAGTTCATGTACAATAACTTCGACTGAGCAGCCTAATATCCTACCTGGCTCGATGTATCCGTATAAATCTTAGACTTTTTGATAAAATTTACGGACTTTCAGTGTACTCGTGTAGAATATTTAACACTTGTTGCGTTTCCATCCATAATACATATCTCACTATACTAGACATGTAAAATCTTACTGTGTTGTCGTTTTATGAAACTAAATATAGATTATTTTGGAATAGTCTAAACGTTGAGTTATTGCATTTTTATTGTTATCCTATATTATTGTTACCTAAAACGATGTATATATCTTGTTTGCGTTTGTAAATAATCTATAGTTTATGGGAATTTTGCGTCAGATTCAACAAAATAGAAAGTAATTGTCCTAAATTTCCAGAGTGTAGGCCGAAGTAGAGTTTATAGAGTTAAGAAAAAAGGCGCGCTTTTTACTGTTTAGTGTGCGAGGTACTTATGATTTGTGGGGTTTTCCATCCTTTTCAAAACAAAAATAGAGGTTATGAGTAATAATCACAATATTTGTAAGTATGTTTTTATTCATCCTAGCATATGAGATTATAAATTCTCTTTGCAGCTCCATTAGATTGTGTATCAACCAGTAAGGTGGTACGTATAGCAATGGTTTACCTTACCAAGATGCTTATAGGGAACGAATAGTGGACTTGTATCACAACAATATATCCCAACGACAAATTTCAATCCAACTTAGAGTAAGCCGAAGATATGTTCAAAAAGTAATCAAGCAATATGTGGACACAAACACATCACTGCGTATACCGCGCATTGAATATCCAACTCCAAAAATAAATGACCATGTACTCGAGAATGTATCGGTACTAAAATCATGTCAGCCGAGTATATATGCTTCAAAAATCAGGGATAGAATGCTTCTTGACGGCGTCGTTGGCGCAAACGATCTTCCGAGCGAATCTCAGATAAACCGAAGGATCAAGAAGGACTTGATAATGACAAAGAAAAAGATCACTGTAGTACCGTCTGAAAGTGTGACTGAAGTCAATGTTCAGCGTGTAAATGACTATCTTCAAGAAATATCATAGCTGTTGAGGTTCAAAAGTACGCATCTAACGCCAATTATACAATAAATTTGCTTCACTCTATGAGAGGCGTTGATCTTTTTAACGTTCTAGACGGTCCATCAAATGGTTTCGAGCTTCTTAATTTTTTTGAAAATGCTTTTGCAGTTCAGCGTCAAGATGGATACGTGGTGCTGGAGAGTGGAAATGTTGTAGTGATGGACAACTGCGGTTTCCACCATGGCCATTTCGTGATCTCCTGGCTGATTACGGAGTAGTTTTGATATATTTTAATTTTAAAAGATCTTTGTTGGTTGTATTTTTCATATTTATACGCAGTTTGTTTAATCAACCATGAATAATTTTAAACTTTTTTCCAAGCTTTCATATAATTCTATAATTCTATATTCAAGCATTCATATAAATTCTGTGCACTTAATTTTCTAAGTTTACATACCAACGATGTCTCTCGCTATCTCTGAAAGATTAGGACTAATAAATACATAATAATAACATCGAATATAGATGTTCGAAATTAACGCACAAGTCGAGACCGAATTTGCCATCATAGTCAAAGAAAAACACTTCACATGAAGTTGTAACTTTGTAGTTGATTCTCGCTTTCTGATTCGTCAACTTGTTCGAAACCTTTGTCTGGGTGGCTACGGTAGCGCGCGTCGCGCTGTAAAGTGGTAACTAGCAAGCTCGAAACTTCACAAATACAAAATCCTAGTCCAATTCTTCAATGAGAAAGCTTTTGTTATTTCTTTTAAGCACATGTTGATAGTTTTTGAGTACTTTTTTCTCTGTTATCGGTGGAGGTGTCCGCCATCTTGGATTCTTGAGAAACGTTTTCAGTTACAAAGAAAGCTTGATTCTTATTGGCTGAAAACATTTCTTTTCTTTCTTAGCCAATCAAAAATGCAAATTTCGTTTGTAATTGCACTGATTACAGCTTTTTGCACTACTCAGTCTGTTGTAGTACTTGCACTGCAGAAATGTAATTGCACTGAATTAAGAATTAATATCTACAATATTTTCTTAAAATTGATTATAATATACCAATTAAGAATTATGAATAGCATGCCTATCTGACGAAATATGCAAACTTCATGGCTAGAAATTCCGGACATTTGAGCCCGGGACGAGTCAGCGGGTTTTCCCACCAAAATAGAGCTTCCTACAAGTTCCCTTGACAAGGTTTGAACTTTTGAAGATCAAATTTTCTACTCTTGTGCAACGATCCTTTATCTTAATACAATACTGGGTTAAAATCGAAACGTTCAAAACATTGACAAACGAGTATTTGGGATAGCACGCCCTGATCCTTGAGTTCATTAGTGGCTTGTGAGGTGCTCGTTTGGAATGTTCATAGTATAATTATTTCATACTTGATTCAGTTTTCTTTGTTATTCATAGTGCACAGCTCACTGTGTATTCAAGTGCTTTATATCGAAGTTTCAGGGCAATATCTATATATTGCCCCCATTTGAGGGCAATATCTATATATTATTTCATACTTGATTCAGTTTTCTTTGTTATTCATTGTTCTGTTTATCTCGCTTATTCCACAGCTCATCATGTATTCAAGTGCTTTATATCGAAGTTTCAGGGCAATATCTATATATTGCCCCCATTTGAGGGCAATATCTATATATTGCCCTCGAATATATATTGCCCTTGAATACCTAATTAACTACTACGTTCAACTTAGAAATTTTCCGTCTGAAGCTTGAAAGAAAGAAAGAAAAATTCATGACAACAAGTAGATTCGAACCCGCAACCTTAGCTTTGAAAATCCTATACTTAACACGTTATGCTAACTGACTAGTCGATGTCAGTTATGGAATAAAACAGTTATTCAACATTGTCCAGTTACTTGTTACAAAAGGTATATTGTTAGCATTGGTCTCATGGGACTAACGTGAAAATTGGTTATGCAAATTATTCCCGTTGTGAATTGTCAATACTGTAAATTTCGTAACCTTTCTAATCGAGGTTTTGGTTTTGAATTCATAAGAAAACGGCTTCTTTGCCTATTTAAAAATGAAAATATTAATGCAGTGCTTGGAAAACTTCTTCAAGTATAAAATAAGCCAGTTACATACCTCGAACGTACATACCTACGGCCCTCGGGATGTATAGGCTGATTGCCTCCGTTCTCGGTATGTAACTCTTACATAATATTACTTGCTGGAACAGGTATTTTAAACAATGATCATCAGTTGATATTGTGATCTTTTGTATATATTTCTACATTTCTAAGGAATTTAAAAGGTCTGACATTGTTTACACTAAATAGCGTAGACTTGATCTTTCATTCGTACTTGATTGGTCTATCTTTCGTTCGTATTTCCCGCTATTTACCAGTGCGCGCAAGGCGCCAGTCAAAACCGCCAAAATTAAAGCAGTCCCAGTCTGAAAGCGACGTTTCTAATGTTTATTTTTACCGTCAAGTTAGTGTTTTCAAATTGTACTATTTCTAGTACCAAAAAGGACGCTGTTTATCGTCTTCAAAATAGCTGAAAATCTACCTCAATACTGTGGAATTTGAGAAATGATCTTTGAAATATCAGTGACATGTAAAGAAACACGATCAGCTACGGTGAAATTTCGCTTCTTCGCGGATTTTCWCCATGAGATACAAGGGCAAAGGAGACTACGAAAGGAAAATAAAGGACGACCTTAACAATATTTTATTTATTTGGATTTCCTACAGTAGTGGAATCAAGAATAGTTTCCCTCTAGGAATTCATCTTGGAAAACTTTCCAGGTAAAACAGATCAAATGTTATTCTCAAATAGTTTTTTTGATCCGTACATTTCTTTGTAAAATTTAACAAACATGTTTTTGTGCTCTATGCGAAGTACTGCTGCGATTGCGGGCTCATATGTCCTGATTTTCTGGTCATGAAGGAAAGCACTAAATATTTTATAAGGATTATAGATTGCAACTAATCATATTAAAAGTAAAATTCTAGTTCTATGTTTTTGAAATGAATTGCACAAAATAATCTTTGTAAAGATTACTTACTTAGTTTTAATCTTCCTTTGTTTAGTTTGTTTAACGTTTGACAGCAGCCCCCCAAATCGACTGGTGTTTGTGTTGGGTAAAAACACTACAAACATCTCAATGAAATGGATGATAAATTTGACAAGCGAGGAAGTTTTTAGCAGCATGAAGTTAGTCAGGCTGGAATCTCTCGACACATCTAAAGAAGCAGTACTGTATTTTTATAATGTTTTAAAACCCAATCAGATCACTATCAATACCAATCTATACAGCGCCAGTAGAGACATCAAAAGTGGACCATCTTCTGGGTCATTCAACTTTACTATCAAGGACATGGCAAACCAAATCAACAATGATGGTGGAAGCCTTTATAACCCACTGTCCAAAGATTACCTGTACAGACTGATTATCAAAGTGGTTACTACAGACGATGTATTACATACAAGTGATTCCAAATTGTTTTTTTTCGGTGAGTAAAGAAAAAACTGCAAATTATTATCATTAATCATTGGTTTGGGGTTTCTGTGATATCTGAAATTATCATGGTCGAGACAAGTGTAATCAGCATGACATAAAAAAAGTAAACGTGATTTCCTTGTACCTTCATGTCGTTTTTAAAGATTGCGAAGCAATCGAAGAGTTATAGGAGGGAGATAGATGATGTGTGAGGGACTAGTTAATAAGGCTGCATTCATTATACTACAGGGAGGGCAGAGGAAAATCGGATTAAATTGATGCGTTTTATGGGGAAATCCAGGAAAACGCTTTTTCAGCTTTTTCTCATTATGTTGGAATGATTTACATTTGTAAAGTTTATGACTTTTTCAGCTATTTCAAACAAATTATTAAATACAATCCTAAAAAACTACCGTCGAATTTGAGAAATAAAATATATATGTGACCTTTCTTTTACCTTTCTGTGGGGGAGGGGACTTAAGTAAATGTGATAAGCCTTATCAATTCTGAATGTTTATCAATCCGAATCTGAGACTCTCAATCTGTGACTACATTGTAGCTTCACTTTGGTTGATCCAAAGCACTATTAACAAAACTGAAAAGAGAGTTGACTTCTTCTGATCTCCACGGGATTTTTTTTACGATAAGGCAGTACAGCCCTGACCGTGTTCGTCTTCATCTGAGTTTTCGGAGGACAGGTACTCCAACATCATTATTCGTCCATACTTGTCTTTTTCTGTATCGCTAATTTGACTAGTTTGTCATTTGAAAGCAGTCTTTCTTGCTGACAATAGTCCACTTCGCGGATAATTCGAAATTTTACATTACGTCGTTATGGTAAATCATTGGAAAGAGCGTCATAAAATCAGCAAATTTGCCAAGTTTGAAAATAATCTGATTTAAATTCAAAGAGATACGGCACTTCAAAAACACTAAATTTTGCATAGAGATGTTTGGCGAGGTTGTAACAAGTCAAGATCAACCTCGATCTCATGCCGACAGCCCATACATTTCTTTGTAAATTTTGCCAACTTTTAAACGCTGTATCTCATTGAATTTTCATCGAATCATGCTCAAACCTGGTAAACATACTAATTTTATACTGTTCTTTCTGTGGTAATAGTTTTTCGATATTTGCTGAATTTCTAATAGCTGTGTTATCCGCGAAGTGGACTATTTCTGAGATATAAATCATATACTTTTTAAATTTCATTTCATTATACAAGCATTATCATTATCGGTCGAGATGACAACTGGATGTTGAATGGGGATTGAATGTCAGGCTCTTTGAGCTATAAATACACAATGCTGAATTATGCTTCAAACATGCACAGATCACTTGATTGATTGTGGGACCTTTATGCACTAGTCAATTGAACCTACCCCCACCCCGGGGAATTCCGGGGAATTTAACGTTTGAGTGGTGTTAGAATAAGACATTTCCCCAAGTAGTCGGGGTCACATTCATTGTTAAAATCTCCGCTACTGTTGCCCCGCTATTTTGGTAGTAGTAAATAACAAAAAAAAGACATTTCAGTCAAATTTTCTGTGATACACAGGGTTAATTTTTGCACAATCCTGTGTACTCATTTTCGTACTACATGAGGCTAACTGGACGGAGAAAAACATGTGTAATAAGTGACTTTTAAAACATTTCATGCAAAGGAAGTTGCCAACGTCATACATGCTCACGCGCGCGCTAAAATCCCCGCTCTCTGCCCCGCTTCGAAAACAATTCATCAAAATCCCGACCCCCGGGGCAATTTTGCTGTTAAAAGCACGTTTAAAACGCGTCACGTCCCCGTTCAGTCCCCCCCCCCCAGCCCCGGGGGTCGGGGGTCTCAATTGACTAGTGCATTAGTATGGTGGAAAATATAATAAACAACCTACCCTCTTTGCCTCGTGTGGTGGTTTTCAAACTGGTTCTTCTTCTTTTTTTATGTGAGCTTCGTAAAGCGATGTGTAATATCGWTGTGTAGCAACTAAAAGATAACATCAGTGATAACAATTTTGTTTAAATTAATTCAAACTGAATTTTCTTCATTAGTCGGACTAGCCGAGGGCTAGGTCGACTTGAGTTTTACCTTTTAGCCAATCTATCTATCTGTGTATATAAGCTCAAACGTATAGATGTACGAATATCGTTAGTAAATGTTATATGCTACTTGCGCTTTTATGTGATAAAAAACTATTCGCTTGCAAATGTGGTATCTGTGATCTCATCGGAATGCATCAGTCTAGGCATCATAACTACGCGCATTTGCGGATGGCATGGAGCTTCGAGTTGTATGCTTACGAATCTGAATCAATAATCTTTCTAGCGTTAGTCTTGTGCGGGCAAAGATTTCAAATTAGAACAAGAAGAAACTTTGTTTATAATCAATAACAAGAAGGCGAATTTAATGATTTTATAGGTATCGTTTTCCTTGTATAGTATTTATTTTCTTGCCCTGAGAGGTCAACTTATTAGATATCATGATATCACTTAGCGACATTTTGTCTGCCAAGTTTGATTTTATCAGTCAAAGCAAGGACTCTTTTAAAACGTTAATTACATGACCTTTTAGATCAAGTTTATTTAAAGTCTCAATAAATTTTGCAAAAATTTTGTAAAACCAGATTTCTTAAGCAGAAAATTAGTCAGAAGCCCTCCTCCGAATCATAAGAAAATACCTCTTAACCCCCCCTGCTATATTAGAAATAACGTCGACCCCCCTCCCCCTCCTAACTATAACTTTATTTATTAAACAAGCGCAAGCGAGTCGAGTCAACTATAGCAACGCAAAATTAACTAAAGACGAAACCTGATGCAAGAGGTGGTTTACTCATCTTGATCTAAGTATAAAGACTTTCAGGAGGAGCTGACGGGGTCTTTTCTGCTAGATAACTGTTCTTGTATGAATTTTTTCCTGGGATTACATTGGCTACATTGTTGAAAATCTCATAAGCAAATGTAGCGCCCTTGCTTCTTTCAAATAATTTTGTTCCTGACAAAGGTTTTCAAGGTCCAAAAAAGTCTTATGTATAGAACGTTTTTATGGTAAAAAAACGACTTTGTTATTGCTTGTGCTTGTTATGTCTAGTAAATCATCATATGTTTTTTAGATTCTACATCTTCAATTTATGTGAAAACTACATCCTTAATTTATGCCACAAAATTGAAAAAATCAATAGTTGAAAAAAAAATCATACCTTGTTTAATTTCAATCCCACATCATGAACGAGTTTTTGAATTTAGATTTCCATTAGTCGGGCGCGTAGCGTGGACTTTTTATGCACATGTCAGAGACCGCGACACATATTTTGGATCTGAGGGTCTAACAACCGCCAAAGGTGGGAGTATTAAGGGAGTCTGGACCTCCCCCAGAAAATTTTGAAATAAATAATTCTTGGAAATGTGATTTCCAGCGTTTTGAGAGACATCGAAAATTATGAAAATTTTGAAGGAAACTTAAGGCCCCCCCTCTTTTTATTAGGTAATTTTACTTTGAACCCCACTACCTTGCCATCAATTTTATGTTATGCCCCCCTTCTGGTTTAACGCCCCCCTCCTCATGGTAATTATTGCACAGTCTCTAAGATGTTATTAATGATTTTGTATTGAAAATATCGCAGGTAAGAATCAATTGTTGTTTTATAAATTCGGTTATACACTGTTT